GCCTTCAGAAATGTGCAAATCCACAGAAGAAAACCAAAGGAGACATTACAACACACGTCCCTCACAATAATCTTTCTCCGACATTGTGCCTGGATCTATGACATAAGTATTTGTCTGGTAGTGTGCAGAGTTTCCAGTGCTGTTAGTTTGGACTGAAAAGCTCTCATGTACACCTTTATCACTTGACAATCACTCCCTTGTTTCTTCCTCTTTACTGAGAATACATGGATGTACTGTAACTTAGCTCTCCCCCTGCAAAATTTTCTTCAAGTAATCAAAAATTAAAATAAAAAATAATCTGAAAAACCCTTGACCTAAACACACCCAATGCTGTATGCATGGAGATGCCAGCTGACTCCTCTGGCAGGACAGTGCGGTGCCACACCTGAGCTAAGGAGCACAGCATTGCACTCTTGCAGCTGTACTGCACCTGCAGCAGCTGGTACAGTTGCTGCTGGTGCAAGGATTTCTGTATCACACGTATTTCACTGGGCTTTTACCTGAGATACTTCAGCTGCAGGGGATTAGGAAAGTTAAAAATAGATGCAAAAAACCCACCTGTCCAAGAGACAAGAATATTCTTGCAAACGTATAGTTACCCGCTACGTCCTAAGGCAGTGTCTTCATAAAAGAATGGGTGAGGGAGGCGTTGAGACTCAAGTTAGTCTCTGGCCTTTAACTTTACTCACCAGCTCTGTGAAAACTTCAGGCTGCCCTCTGAGCTCCCACTGCTCATGGGGTCAGTGCCCAGCTCCTAAGTAAGGCATAGCCTTGGTGGGGAAGAGGGGGAGGAGGCAGACCACCTAACCGGGCTCTAATGTGGACTCCACAGCTGAGGGAGGCAAATGCTACAGGGGAAAGTCTAAATCAGGACATCAGCTGAGGAAATCACAGCAAGCAGGAGAGAATGTGGAGCTTCAGGAGATGTGTAAAGCTAACACCAAAGGATTTGATACTAGCGGATAGCTCAAACACACAGGACATTAAGGTTGTCAGTTCTGAGTGACAGGTTTGACAACATGGCCAGGCAAAGGGTGTTGTTTTTGGCAACATTAATGATACTCTGATTTTAGCTACAGGATAACATTGCTCCCTTCTATACTGTATGTTCATCAGTGCTTCTTCCTACCCACTTGGCACATATGCATATAGGTTTTAAAAAAAAAAAGTGAACCTGAAAAGAAGGAAGCCCTTGAGCCCATCCTAGCTAAAAAAATATTTTGTCAGTCAGTCAGTGGTGCCGCAAAAAGGCAAACTCCCATTCCTGTGAACAGCCTGTGAGGTTCAGCGTGCAGGGCTGCATTAAGATCTTGAAAGAGTAGAACAGGTACACCCAGCATTCACCTGAATGGACACATTTAATCTCCCCTAGTTGCTGAAAATCACATAAAGGAGAAGCCTTTAGGAGATTTGCAATTAATGATAAAGAAACAAATTTATCTTAATTTTTCCCCATCCAGTTCCCCTAGGTGCTCTAGATCCCTTGGATCAGGCTGCTAGACCTACCAAATTCTTACCAGTGGATTTTTTAGGAAACAAATTCCCAGTGGAGACCAAACTTTGGTGATCACAAACTCTGGCTTTTGTTCCTGTTGCTGGTGAGCTCATCCAACAAAGTATTCCTCGCCTAGTTCAGGGGAGGCAGAAATCCAGGTGCAAATCTGTGTCTGCCACAGAGCAGGTCCATCCATCTCACACCATGCCCAATCACACCTGCTCAGTGATGCTCCCAGTGTCCCACAACTGGAGCAGAACTTGCTTGCTTTGTGCTTAACATTCTGTTTTGGTTGCATTCCAGTTTCTTGCACGTCCTGAGCACACTACTCCATGAACAAGATGTCATCAGCAGGTTTGAATGCTGGGAAGAAAAATGCATACACAGCAATCAAAGTAGATCCTGATGAGGATTACCGTACCCCAGATGCATTTGAATTGGAGCGACTCTTCTGGAAAGGATGCCCGAAGTACACTCATGTCAATGAAGTCTGGCCCAACCTCTACATAGGAGATGAGTAAGTGTATACATAGTACCTCTACATAGCAGACGAGTAAGTGTACATGGTACATCTCTTCTACATAGGAGATGACTAAGCTGTACCAAGTACAGCTCACCAACAGAGCAGGGTATTTCTTTCCTCCTCCTACCCATCCGCTAGTATTTAGTGGTGATGATGTGATTACTGACAGATGCCAGAGTTCAATAAAGCAACCGGAGCCTGCCATGGCCCTTACAGATATAGGCACTCAGTGTTGGTTGCTGCTGCTTCAAGAAAGCGCTGGGTAAGTGCGGCAGGGTCTACTGTTAAAGACTGAGTAACAGGAGCAGTTGTGGCACCAGTGTAGGCTGCAGAGGTTGAAGCTAGTCACGATCTATTTTTAAATGTCTCATTTCAAGGAGTAATTTGTCATTTATCTCTGAATGAAAGTCCTGCCACAGTTACAGTGACAGAAGAGCATGGCCTTGATGTGTAGGACCACGCCTTAGGTTGGTTTAAGCCTAAAATGTAATTCTTGAAAAGTGACTGAAGAGACAGCTCAACCCACAGTGGTCTTTCTGCATTTCCAAGCCTGTGCTTGTGTACATGGAGTACTCTGCATTTCCAAATTGCTCAAGAGATTAAAACAAACAGAACCCTGTGGAAGGCAAAGCTGCAGAGATGTGTCTCACTGATCACACCAAGTGTGATTTGGAAAAAAACCAAACCCACAAAACAGACTTAGCTCTGCTGAGCACAGGACTAAGCTAGAAACAGCCTATTCTGACAAACAGAGATGACTGCTGCAGCAGGGAGACAGCCATCAGAAAATCCCCCAACCCAAACCCTGAGCAGAGCAAGAGAGCTTTTCTTACCCCTTCAGCATTATTGGTCCCCTTCCCATTTTCCTTTACACCCTGTGCTAACATGACATTTCTTTTACATCATCACTGTAAGGCACAAGCAGGAGCCCCATTGGCTCCAAAGTTCTCAATAATTTTTTTAAAAGGTCCTAAAATTCATCTGTTGCCAGCTTATAAAAGAGGAAAGATATACAGCCTTGAAAGTTACAAGACTCCTAATATCATTGACCAATTACTTCTGCGGCGCCAGAGGCAACAGAAAGACACACAAGAGTTCTGGGCTTCAACCAAGCTGGGGCTCCCACTTTTAGAGACAGGAAAAAAAAACCAAACATATTTTAAGCCATGGGAAGAGCCTGGCCAAATGACTCAGGAACAAAGGAAAAGGGGGTTGAGTTGTCCTCTCCCCATCCTACCCTGCCCCTCTTGTTAGATATTTCTAACTCAGGATTCAGTGTAAAGAACAGCCTCTTCTGGCACCTATTTCCTACTTCCTTGTTCAAAATTACCAGCAGAATTATTCCAAATGAAGCCGTTAGAATAATTTCCTTTTTATCTCTGTGATGAAGCTACAGCTCTGCCCTCTGAGCAAAGGAATCTAATGAGACAAGTGGTCTTTGGACAGTCAGTCTCTAAGCCCAGGACACCAGCCACTGACTCTTTCACGTCATTGTTCCCATAGCAGTGGCTTGTTACACCTTGTGTTTAATAAATGCTAGGAGGCATGACTCTGAATACAATACACACCTGCATTCCGTACAAACTAACCAGAGGAACAGAAAAACAAGCTTCTTGAGAGGTACTTAGAGCTACACGCACTTAAGCTGGGCAGTTTTTTATTTCTGCAGGGGATGGGTCTTAAGTCAGGAGGAAAAGCAATGGTGCTTCAAGGGGAAACAAGTCCCCCACATGACTGGGTCAAAAGAAGGAGAAAGCCAACGGAGAAGGAAAAATAAGTGGGGAGCAGATGGGGGTGAACAGAAGTAAAACTTCACCAGAAAATGAGGCTCCCTGTGAGAGAATGACTATTGTCAGCTGGATAAGGGCAAACTTGACATCCGGTAGCAGACAATCTGAGATGAGAACTGGTCTGCAGGCAAGATGCAGCTTTCATTACCAGAATTAAAATTTGATTTGAAGCAGGCAAAGTCCAGGGACCTCTATATCTTTCCTCAGTCAGCTCCATGTCTTACTTCTGACCAACAGCTTCCCCCTTCAGTGTGGTAGGGGTTTTTGTATTGTTTTATTTTAAGATCTTCCTGTAGCACTGGTCACCAAAGAGCTGCCATGGAGACATGAACAGATGTTGGGTGTATTTGCATCCTTAGCCATGTTAAATTAAGGTTGATCTTGAAAGAATTTAGTGGAGCTCATCAACAAAATCAAGTGAACACACACATGCAGAGTTTATCTTCAGAGCCTTCACATCTGTGCTTCATTCCTGCCTCCTGCATTTACAAGGTTAACAGGACTTGTGACTGCTTATGGAAATGCTAATTAATTACCCTGACTACGTAACCACATCTTCCTTCTAATGCAATACAGGCTATCAAGGAGCCCTGTGAGGCCACTCAATCCTTTTGTTACAAGGCTTCGCTGCAGATGTTGCCCAGAGGCAATGAAATCTCCATGAGCCTGTCAGGCCCTGAATAATCAAAGCCTCAAAATATAACATGCTGTGTTCAGCTCCAATTGAAATTTTCCTCCAGCAAGTTCCAAGGACTTTGAAAGACCAGACACTGGAACTTGTAGGAGACAGCCCAGTGATAGGGATAAAACATGCTTTGCCAAGATTTTGATTCATCTGCTACCAGGATTAGTGCTTGCATGTATCCTCCTTACATCCAGAAGCCTTCTAAAGGGATAGAAAGCAGCTTTATCTTGCTCCTTTCTTTCACTGGTCACTAGGTTACTTGCATGGGCAATTTTACTGGCTAATCCCAAGCCTGTTTGGTTCACCGCAATCACATGGAAAACCTCTGCCAGTTGTGCACCTTGTAGTTTCTTCTTGCAGCTCTTCAGTGATCGCCTTATTACCTGAGATGGTGTTTATGGTTCCACATTTCTGAATTTCAAAGAATTTATTTTAGCTGAAGACAAAGGCCTCCCAAGATTGTGTTCTCCTCTTAACCATCCTCTAGCTCTCATTAGGATTTAAGGTCTGATCACAATTTCAGGTCTTTCGGTCTTTAGTTCTCAAACTACTCTCAGAGGAAGAAAAGTCTTCCAGAGTCTATTTCCTTACAGGTTAAATATGAAAAATATTTTTCTGGATATGCAGCTGAACTGAGCTTGCACTTCAAGAAAACTATGGTCTGTGTTTATCCCAGTAGAGCCCCAGGGCTCATGGTCTTGAGAACTAACACAGGTAAAGTTCAACAAAACACACTAGTAACTCAAACCTACAGATTGGAATGTATGATAATTAAAATACATAACTAAACTTTAAATATATGCTTAGCTAAAACTCATTCTCTTCTCTTACCTTTCTCCAGAAAAACAATACAGTATGGCTTTTTCCAAGTGACTACATAGAAAGACGATTTATACTGATCTAGAAGAAAACAGATGGGACTCACTCAGGGTAGCAAATAGTTACCTCCCACTGTTTAGCATTATGAACTCCTAGGATCTACACCAGTATTAATCATACAAAAATAGGAGTGTATGCACTCTTGAGGACATAGTTTCACCTCTGTTAGTATGAGAATCTGCCAATTGTAACACCAGTTTAACAATCCAGAAAATCAGATCTGTAACACTGGACCATAAACCTCTTAAAGCAGCAACGGTTTCCAAGACAAGTAACACTTCCCCATACAACAACATCTCTGCCTATAGGTGATTTCTAACACTTGGTGAGTGACTGAAGTCAAGACCAGGAACTGACTGACTACATCACGTGTTTGATGCCTTTGCTGTATAGAAAGCAGAGAGGTATTTCCCGTACCTAGGTTCTATCACTTACAAAACCAACATCCACTGCTTTCAGCTAGAGGAAAATGGACTGCTAAATTTTTTTCTACCACGTATTATGAAGTTCCTGTTCCGTATTTTCAGTGGTACCTAAAAATTCTTCTTATTCACACTGAACAGGAGGTATCCACAGAAATGGAGCAAAACCTCAGAAGGAAAAGGGGATACAATGCTACACAATCTCTGGATTCCCTCAGTGCTGGAGTTACCAAAGGAAATTGGGTCAGTATTATTGGAAATTCTCAACATCTCTCCTCAGGAGGGAGAACTGCCAGATTTTCTTAAGAAAGCGTCAGTATTGCCTATATTCAGGAAGCTTCTTTCTGACACTGACCATCTGGTAAATTATCATCCTGCATCAAGCTTTCTTTCAGCGTTTAAGAAAATGGAAAAGTTTGAGAGAGACGATTCCTCTTCTAGTAACATGTTGCCTCAGATTTCCTTGTGTTTTGTCAATCTGGGTCACGTCAATCTGTGGCTTTAACAGTCTATATTGAAACACGTATCATGTAGGCCTTATCGTGCTCCACAACTACCTGAAAGGAGGTTGTAGTGAGGTGGGGGTCGGTCTCTCTTCTGCCAAGTAACTAGCAATAGGACAAGAGGAAATGGCCTCAAGTTGCGCCAGGGGGGTTTTAGACCGGACATTAGGAAAAATTTCTTTACTGAAAGAGTGGCCAAGCCTTGGAACAGGCTGCCCAGGGAGGTGGTTGAGCCACCATCCCTGGAAGTATTTAAAAGACGGGAAGATGAGGGGCTTAGGGACATGGTTTAGTGGGCATGGTGGTGTTGGGTTAACGGTTGGACTTGATGATCTTAGAGGTCTTTTCCAACCTTACTGATTCTATGATTCTATGTTTGCATTGCTCAACCCTCACATGAAGCTTAAGAGACTTGGCTCTACTTAGAGCTTATAAGCATACCAGTTGTCTGGTTGACCAGTACCAGCTGTAAGGTGTTGACTTACCTGTGGAGGGAGCTGCTCTGCTCACAAGGAGCTTTGGAGGATTACTTCCCTTTCTTTAGATGCACTTGGGTTTTCATCATAAGACGCCTTCTCTTCCCTTTGTTAGCTGCTTTTAATATACTTAATACTTGATGTGAAGGTGCCAGCTGCAGTGCCTGCAAGTTTTTTTTTTTCCCCTCTCTTCCAACTCCATTGGTTTGGGCATCTTCCTGATGAAGGCAGCTGGGACT